GTAACAAGTCTAATTTAGGAACCTTATTGCATATAGACGCTATCACGCACAAATACACATACTCATACAATCGAGAAAAAATAACAGGACCGGTATGAAAGAAAATTAACCAAACCATTCTATATCGATCTATCTAGTTTTTTAATTTTTAATTTTTTGACTCGATTGATGGACGAAAGCTCAGCACGTTTTCACCCGAAACGAGGGAGGAATACTCGTGGACTGCGTCAACATTAAATATCGTATAAAAGCCAAACGGCTGCAGTATGACGAGATTTACTCACCTTATCTGGTGAGATCGACCAACGAATCTCTTCTTCATTCACTTTCATTCGAAATGAAGGTCCCCCTAACAACATTCTTTTTTTACCAGCACAATCCACATGACAGTACACCCTTCCTATAGGCCTGGTTAAAAGTAGTAATAACCTAGAAAGCTATCGAGATAATCATACCTTTGTCACCATTAAAAATTTTGTTTTCTGAAGGTGCTCACTTTGCATTTTAGAAATCAGTAAGGAAAATTAGAGATATGAACAGAAGTTGGGTTTCGAAGAATATCTTAGTAGATTTATACTGACATACCTTTTTAGTTCGTTTGAGAAGGCGGTTAGCAGGGATTCGTAGATTGGTATGACTTGATACTGAAGAAGGTTTGTCTTGTGCTTTTGCCAGTTAAAGTGTGATCACCTTCCTACGACACCGTTGACCCTGTGCTGAGCTTTCAGCCGTCATGTGAAGGACAGCCTCAGAGCCAGAAACCATTATTCATGCACAATCACGCAAAACACTGAATCAAGTCAGTTTACCAGATGAGATCCTACCAACAGCTTATACTTGACTTTGCGATCTTAATGGGGCATTTCATGATTTGGTTGGCTGACGTATACTTGTCATGTATGAATGTAAGCGGGTCAAAGTGATGCAGGGAGGGGAGCGGATGTGGTCACAACTTTTGTACATGTAAATAAACTGGCGTATCTTTATGCAATCCTAGGGCTTGTTTTAGCTTCATGGATGTGTGTGCGTTGTGTGTATGAACATTCAAGAGTCGGTTGGCAACCAAATCATAGAATGCCTCAATAAGATCACAAAGTAAGTAGGGTCTCAGCGGGCCACCTCTCTCGGTTAAGTGTTTTTGATGATTGTTCGTGAATGGTAGTTTCTGACTCTCAAACGTATTTAAGCGTATACCATTATCAAAATAAAGATAGACATGATATAGACAAATGGAAATCCACTTCCATAATTGCTATGGTTTGCAAGGCTCACTGAGGATGTCAACCTCGATGTCGGTGACTAGTCTGGGAATGTTTTCGTTTATGAGATAATGTATATTGAAGATGTGAAGACTGGTAGCTGAATATTCCCCTTTTGGGAAGCAAGGATAGATAAAATTCAGTGGAAATATTAGGCCTATGCATATGATTGTGGGGAAATTCAACTACCAGTCCTTCATCACTAAGAATGTACCAAGTCCACCGTCTGAAACTGGAAATTATCATGGCAGTTATAGTGGGGGGCTTCAGACAAAGTGCGCTAATCTCCTTGACAGCACATCCAGGTTGCTAAATCGAAGTCAAAACATTCTGCAAACACTGTTTGGCTGCCAAAACACCATAAGCGAAATGGGTTCGTACATTGGAATTGATGTGAGTGTGCATTTTGCAACACATTCCCCATGAATGACAGTTTCCGTTTCCTCTGAACTCCGCAATCAACCTAGTTCTTTCAAGATAATCAAGCATGTCATCCACATGATCCTACTTTTTGCATTATTACAAGATATGGTTTTCTGTAGAAGCTCCTTTATGCCTTAAGACAATAAACGAAGAGAAAAAAACGATAAAGGGTTTAT